TATTTGTTTGTTTTTTTTTTTCACCTAGTGGAATTGAATCTTTTATTATTTCTTTTTGCTTCACTTTTTTGTTTTATTTAAGATTTTATCGCTTTCGATAAATTAGTAACAAAAGACATTTTAGTTTCTTCACCTTGTAAAAATAAGACATAACATGATTCTTTTCATCCAAATTAATTTGGTGAAATTTTATTTCAAGAAGGTACTTTTCATTCTTACTATTTCTAATAAAATTTGGATAGCATCTAACATAAAAAAAAATTATGTAGATTTCATGTTGAAAAATTATGTGTTAGCAATCCCGATACCCTGGTAAAATAATAAATAAAACAAAAAGAAATAATAAAAGATTCAATTTCACTAGGTAAAAAAAAACAAATATTCTATTATTTTTCGTAATTAAGAACTTACTCACCTTCTCATAGAAATTATTCCCTTGAATTTATATTATTTGTCTTTTAAATCTTTTACGTTTTGTACATGCATTTCCTTTAGAAAAAATAAATAATAAAAGCATTAGAGTGTGTTTTGTAGAAAAAATATTAATAATAGTATACTTTTAAAACAAATATTAACAATAATAGTATATTTTTAAAAATAATAATAATAATATATTTAAACACTATCTATAATTAAAAGGTTTTACGAATAATCAATTTTTATCATTTATGAAATAATATCAAAATTATAAATTAAAATTTATTAACAATACAGATTAAAAAAATATTTGAACAAATTTTTTAAAAAAATAATACTAATACTAATAATATATTTGAACAAAAAAATATTTAAAAAAATCGGACCAAAAAAAAATATTTTAAAAATAGGCAGCAAAGCGCTGAAACCCATGCTCCTTGTAAGGAGCATGACGGCTGAGTCTTACAAGGCTAAAAGGCGGTCGCGCCTTGCAAGTCGCATGGGGTTCCACGCCTTGCAGCGGATACCCTAATTTAAACAAATTTAAACGGCATCAAAAAATATTTCCCTTTTGGTTTGATAATTCATTTTGTTGCCCTTTTGGAATTTTCGGAAAATTTTCTTACCCTTTTGGTTCCGGACTCCAATGAACACTATATATAATATGATAATATGCACCGAAACAATATTCACTTTTTGTTGATTACGATAATTACGTATAATGAATGATTATGGCAATCAGTAAAATATTTACCCATGTATGATAAAAACAGTAATATATCTGGTCAAATTTTGTAAAGTGAAGTTTAGAGAGTAGAGAATATTCGTTGACTTTATTCTTACCTCATGGAGATAGAAATATCGTTTCTGCAAAGACAATTGGCTCAAGTGAAGTAAAACAAATTAAAGTAGTAATAAAGAAAAAATTGTGGTAAAGAAAAGGGATAAGGATCTGAAAAATACCCCAACTTTGGTCGGATTTGCTGTTGCGATACTAAACTTTCACGAGGACCTATTACCTCCCTATACTATTTAATACCGTATTTTTTACCCCCCTGAACTATTTAATAGTGTATTTTAAAGGTATATATGTGCCCACGTGGACACATTACTATTTATAATTTTGCATTATTTTTTGTCCACGTGGGCAAGTATATATGTTTAAAATATGGTATTAAATAGTCTAGGGAGGCAATAGATCCTCATGAAAGTTTAGTATCGCAATATCAAATTCGACCAAAGTTAAGATATTTTTCAGACCCTTATCCCTAAAGAAAACCATGACAACTAATAAAAAAATAATGTAGCGCATACAAGCAAGGAATAGTAACATAAAAAAAAATACCAAATTATGATAAATAACAAAAGCTAGAAATTACTACATGAATAAAGTTATTACTACAACAGATATGACGCCCCAGACTAGCAACCCCCAAGCCTAATCCCCTCAAAAAGTAAAGAAAATATTTAACTACCTGCTAACTTTCTAGTTTAATTTGTGATCTGCAAATTTTCTATCTAAGGCTATATATGTCGTCTTCGATAAACTAAATTTCGTGCATATCATACACTTTAATCACCTCTCTCCAATACTTTTTCGGTCTATCTCTACCTCTCTTCGTATCAACTATATTCAATCTTTCACACCTCCTAACTAGAGAATTTACACATTTCTTCTTCACATGCCTAAACAATCTAACTCAATGGTCCCTTCCATCATCTTATCTATCACAGAGGTCCGTCACTTCCACCTTGTCTAGAATATCTTTATTCTCAATCTTATTGCTTTTATTATGTGCACACAATCATCTCAACTCTTCATTTATATAACTTATATCTTCTAAATAAATGAGTTATTGACTTAGCGCTCTATCCTATACTACACAATATAGTTTACCCATCACTCTAAAACTTGACAGTATCTTATACCAATATCACATGAATTTTTTAAATATTTTATTCACTTCTATGGGAATTAAGGGATGTCCTTCGGATCATTTCAATTATCATATTTTTATTTATTATATATATAATATAAAATGTTAACTTCTCTGTAATAAATATTTTTCTTTTATCTCTCATTAAGGAAATTAAAAAAAAGTTTATTCTATGTAATCATAATATTAGAGTATGTATATATACATGCTTTCACTTAGATTTTATATATTAATTAGTCAATATTTATTTCTTTCAAGAATAATTATTATTAACAGCAAAATAGAAAAAATATACTCAATTATATTTTTAATTTTTAAAATAACAACTATTCTGAACGATCTATTTTTAATAAAACGACAAATAAAATGATGCTAAAGGAATATCGAATAAACAAAATTCAGTAACGAAGCACAAGCAAATAACGAAGATATATACATCACTCTCAATAAAACTGAAAAATCTATAAATAGTAAGTATAAACCGATGTTTTACTACTATCCATATATAGACATTATTTGATGATCAAACTGCTATATATTTAGCAATAACAATACTACGTACGAAGGACCAAGCTATGATGAAATATATAGCTCACAAATTAAATAATTATGGATTGATATGACTTGATTGTTCACAAGTTGAAATGGATTTGTATGACTTTATACTGTTTTGGATATATTTATCTTGTTAAATTAGTCGTAAGTCATGAATAGTGACTTGATCGATATCATCTTCATTTTACCTATTTTATTAAGCTAGCGTTTGGCCCTAAGTTCTCAAATATTCTTGGTAAATTATATTTGAGTGAAGTTTTTGGTGAAGTTTCACCTATTTGGCCCCAAATTTGCCTAAAAATATTTGACTATTTCAAAAAAATATGATTTATATGTATAAGTTCTAAAAATTACTAAAAACACCCATAAATTTATATTATCATTTTATAATGAATATGTTCCGTTAAAAAATAATCTTATAATATAATTGATAACAATTAACAATAATAAAATAACAACATAGGCAAGACAATACACTAAACACATACTAAAACTTGTCACTGATTCAGTTATAATTATAACACATTAAACACAACTTGTTCTTTTTTCTCAATTTTATCTCTCAAATTATAACTCAAACTTTTTCGGAGGAGATAGTAACAAATATTAGTTGGAATTAATAAATAATGAGTATTTTTTATAAAATATAAAAGTTTGGGATGATTTTTGAATTTTTTAAAATTCTCAAATAATAGAACTTGGCTTAAATACTAATTTTTTCTAGTATTTGGGAACTTGAGATGCTTAGCAAATATATTTGTCAAGTTATATGACCAAACACCACTTCCCAAATTTTTTCCAAGTATTCTTGGGGCGAAACAGGTTATAAATAATACACAAGTCATGAACAAATTGATATGACTTTAATTTTTACTATATTCATTTTATTTATATTAATTATTAAATTACTTACAAATCCTGCCGAATTAATATGATTTGATATTATCATCATTTTATCTGTTAAAATCATTCACAAGCCAGACTTATACTAATTAAAATCCACCCACAATTCAATGATTTTGCAATTGGGATATAGTTGATTTTGTACTTCCTAAAAAAGGTAACACATTCCTAAATTGATAAGCATTTAACTTTTAACTTTAAATTTCTCATTCCTTTGATGAGAAGGTTTTTTAGACCCACAAACATTATGGCATAGGAGTATTTATTTTCACAAGTTTCGAAAAAAATAATTCTTTTTTTACCTGTGCTAAATTAAACTTTGAAAGTATTTGGCTAAGCTTGTAATAAGCTAGTCAAATTACCTTATATAAGTAATTTTTTTTTAGCTTATTTATGCATTTGGTAAAATGTATCAAAATGTGTTTAATCTTGTAATCTTAATTAAACATGAATTAAACAGGTCATGTGGGAAAGTTGAAATTAAAAAAAGAGTTGCCAAAATGGGAAGAGTTTTTTTTTTTTTTTTTTAAATGGACTAAAAAGAAAAGTAAGATAAAGAAATTAAAATAGAGGGAGTAACAATTTTTGAACCAAATACGCTAACTATCTATTATCTATTTTAGTACATCTCTATCGAAACACAACTATTTATTTATAAAAGTAGTTTCATCTCCTAAAAGTGATTTTCGGCCCTTAATATGTATATTTAGTTACTGTTAATAAGTTTATCCAAACAGGTTTTATGTCCATAAATTGAAACGGAAGCAGTCCACTTTGAACTAACGGTAGGAGATTAACTAACTTTAAATCAACAGTTCCACCTTTGCTTGTTTCTAAAAGGCCAAAAACAGATAAAGAAGAAATTATTTTTGTTATGCTTAATTAGAAGCCATTTACAAATTTAGATGATATTGTAATAGGTACATATTTTAACTCCCCTCCTTGTAACCTTAGTAGTAGTTACACCTCTCTGTCATGACCATGTATTGATGCATATTAAGTTTTATTAATATATTGTCTTTGTTTACAAATAAAAAGAAATAGATAACCATAAATTCAATGAGGATATAATTAGTGCTATGTGCTTTCAACTCACATCCATCATGCCCTATTATATATTGAAACATATAATGCATTGATTAGTTCCATTGAGACCTATACTTGCTCAAGTACTCTACTTAACTTAGAACCAAAAACAAAAGTTGAGGAAATGAGCTCTTTGTTTGTAGGGAGGCCAATATCTAAGAGCTCTTATAATTTATATACTCTTCCATCGTTAATATGTGGTGGTCGATGTGGTCATTTCTTCAAGATTTCAAACTCACTGAGCATCGATGATGACCGTCGTCATAGTATCGAAATAATTCATAATTCAGAGCTTATACCTAAACATGTTGCTATAATAATGGATGGGAACAGGAGATGGGCTAAGGCTAGAGGTTTAGCAGTGCAAGAGGGTCACAAATTTCTTACTCCTAATCTCAAGAATATTTGCAACATTTCTTCCAAACTTGGAATACAAGTTATCACTGCTTTTGCTTTCTCTACTGAAAACTGGAATCGTTCCAAGGTGCGTATAGAGATGAATTTAGAATTTAAAATTATTCACAATTTATCCTCATACCTTTGGCATAATTTATGATTCCCATCAAAAGTCCTAGGTTCAGATGAACCGATACCCGATACTAATATGGATGTATATTTTAATTTTTGTGATTATTTGTTTCCTCTTATGATTGCAATTTACATGCATGTATACTGAATTTGAATCTATTTTCTAATGCAATTAATTAGCCTATCGATATATAAATATGTTAACTAGTAACAAAAAGTAAGCTAAACGCATGCAAAAGTATGTTGACACGTTAATATAATTGGTTAGTTTTATTACTAAGAGATGGAGGCAAGATTTGAAGGTTTATGAATGGTTGATTCTAATCTTAATTGTTAGATAATAATTTATATATATTCAATAAATCTTTAAAACAAATATAACGTTTGAACTAAAATTAAAAAGTTTAGCCAAACCTGCAGTTGCCGCACTATAATACTCGAGAGTAATTTATTCTTCATTTGCAATTTAACGCGTAGGATTTTGCCACTTGTTTTTATGTGATTTTGAATAATTTTCTTTCACCGTTGTTCAAGAATAACAATTTGGCTTTGAACAGGAGGAGGTTGATTTCTTGATGCAACTATTTGAAGAGTTCTTTGAAGAATTTATGAGGTAATATTTATTTGTTTGGTGTATATTGAATCATAATACAATAAAAATGTGTACCTCTTCTCTTAACTGTTTAAATTTGTCACAAGTTTCAATATAATATCAAAGCAGAAAGATGTGGATTTGATTCTCTCAAGCCACCCATTATTAAAAATTACGTATTTGGCCCACAAAAAAAAAAAAAAGTAACCACACTAGCACCTAAGAGGCATATATCATATATGAGATGATTATACATTTCAACACGAGACACTAAAACTAGAATTATACAAGAACTATTAAATCGTTTTACCTAAAGAATAATAGTTTGATAATTCTTCAAAAAAGACAAAAAATTTCCAAGAATTTAAACGTAAAAGGAAGGACGAAAGCCAGGAAACTTGCAATAATCCCAGCGATATATTTATCTTACTTTAACGATCAATAAAATATGCAAACAATTGTGTATGACTGAAAAAATAACGTATTACTGCTTTTCAATTTTGGTACGAGCTACTAAAGAATGACTGTGTTGAAAGTTTTAAACGTAGAGCTCGGAATTTTCAATTTCATGATTATATTCCAGGCTGAGCACAAGGCTTGGGGTACGGGTGTCTGTTATTGGAGGTAAATCCAAACTTCCCACAAAATTACAGGAAGGCATAGAGTTAACAGAAGAGACCACCAAAGGCAATGAAGGACTTCATCTTATGATGGCACTAAACTATGGAGGACATTATGACATGTTACAAGCAACCAAAAACATTGCAAGTAAAGTGAAGGATGGTCTTATACAATTAGAAGATATTGACAACACATTATTTGAACAAGAACTTACTACCAACTGTGCCAAGTTCCCAAAACCTGATTTACTCATAAGGACTGGAGGAGAACAAAGAATCAGTAACTTCTTATTGTGGCAGCTAGCTTACTCTGAATTGTATTTTACAAATACTCTTTTTCCTGATTTTGGAGAAAAAGCTCTCATGGAGGCCATATTTTCCTTTCAACGAAGACATAGACGTTTTGGTGGACACACATATTGAAACATTTTGTGTGTTTCATGAACCTATCAGCCAAATAAATACTGCTAGTTGAATGTGGTATTAGCCAATTCATGTAGTCGGTGGATTTGAGTAGATGATATCATATGTTGTTTGGTGTATTTAGATGATCACACCTTCTTGTTGTTTTTGTTAAAGTTCCTTGCATATATGTCCGCATTGCTTTGTTATTAGTTGTCATGTTTTCGAAAACAGCCTCTCTACCTAATAAGGCATGTGTACATCCACACCTCACTTTATGGAATTTCACGGGGTATATTGTTGTTGTATGCAATACTGTTAGTGTGATCTATTATGACCTTTGACGTGTGTAGAGATAATGGGCGTATTAATTAATTTCACTATGGAGATAAACAACTGCTGAAGCAACCTCATTATTAGGTTAGCCCGATCCACAAAGCATCCTGGCTCACACAGGGTTCAGAGAAGGACAACACCCCCATGGTGTGATGTAGACAGCCTACTCTAATGCAAGCATTAGTTATAATAGGTCAAAAAGAGCTGAAGCGACCTCAATGGCAATCCTAAATCTGCTTCTCCAAGATAGTAGTACTGTTTTACTATAATCATGATTGCCATGCTTACAATTTCCGAAAAGAAAATCACTAAGAAATCTATATAGTCCCAACACGAATACACCACAACTGGCTCTGCAAATTCTAGGCTGCAGCCAACAAGTCTCAGCACCATTTTGAGAAGTAATTGTTGTATCTCGGTACGTATTGTTTAGCCATATAACTTTTGGAGTACCTTCTCTCAGAGCGATTGTCCAAGTAGAACTTGAACAAGGCCAACGGACTTGCACCATGTGAGTAGCTTCAAGAAATTTCAGCTATTGGCATAGGCACCATTATTCTGCAGGTCCTCCACTACATCTCCTACTAGGTCTTTACTCCTCTAGAGACAATTTCAATATACTGAAAGCTAGTTGGATTCGAAACTACTCAATAGCCAAAAGGTTCGAACATCTATTGAAAAGACATTTAAGATGTGAAACAAAAATCAAAGAATCGTTGTTAACTATATATGGCTTCACATTGTCACTTTTGCTTTGTGCAGTTGCAAAGTACTAGAAATTTAGACATCTTTTGTATGCTGTATACCTGTAGAAGATGGGATAACTTGTCCTGCTTGAAGGAGAGAAAGAGTGAGAGTTCTATCAAAGAGACCAATGGAGTCCAGATGCCAAGCAATGAACTCTAAGCAGACTGCATGGATTCTTCTAAAGCACATTTGAAGAACTGTGCTTGCAGTTAATTTGGCCCAAAAAAAAAAATTGGGAGTGCATCCAGACATTCCAAAAGCAGCATGCTGCTGCTGTAAGTTTTTACACTCTTAGAAAAGATTAATCCAGAGTGGGGCTTGACGTCGGTGGCATAGAGGGAAATGAACAAGAAAATGAAGGCAAAGATATGTACATCTAATCCTAATCATCCGGATCCATTTCCTCATCCTGTTCCAGGGATGGAATTGCATCAGTTCCATTGTATCCTTCGGATTCTGACTGCCTGTCTAAATCAGTCTCATCTTCTTGAGAATCAACTTCATCAGCTTTAGCCTCTTGAGTTCTTAGTTGTTGCATCCATTTGGGGCACTCATCCTGCCCTTCAAACAACAGATGGAGATTGTTGTTCTTTCCTGAATGCACAATATCAGTAGCCTTGACAGTTGAACATGAGCATTCTGGAATAGGGTGAGAGAGGAAAAACTTTGTTTTTGATAGATTAGATTCCTTCAAAAGGCCCTCTTCTGCCAAGCTTTTGTTGAGATGTTCTCTGACAGCAAAAGTCCAATTACGAGGTGGATAATAAAGATGATCGACGGTAGTATTAAAGAGCTCTGCAAGATATTTCCTGCATATACAAGATACATTTTAGAAAGTGATGGTAAATAAAAAGAAATAGTAAACACCAAAGAAAGAAAGGACCAGGACTGTTGTTAGTTTTACCTGTTTGGCCGAAATGTTCTTGCAGATGCCATCTCATAAAGTCGGTGTCCCATCACCAAGCTAGCAAAATCAGGCCCACTACCATCATTGTCAAAACCAGGGAAAAAAACTTCAGCGTCCACCGAGACTATGTAATCAAGAGCATCCCATAGCAGTCGGTGTGCTTGCTCCCTCTGATCATTGAGAGAAGGTTCTGGTTCCTTATCTTTCTCTGCAACCCACCCATACCAGCCTTCTTTTTCATGTCGATAAATAGGTCGATCAGGAGGAGGTGGTAGAGGCCTTGGGCGGGGACCAGACTTGTCCCATTCTGATTTTAGTTGATTTGGACTTCCCAAACTTGTCCCATTCTGATTTTAGTTGATTTGGACTTTTTACTGGTAAAAGCTGATCAGGATCAGGAATAAGGGGGGTTTCAGGGCCAACTAAATTGGCTAGCTCTGTTTTGCTGCACAAAGAAGTACGATCAACTAAATTGGTGTACATGGCGCGTAAAGGAATCATAACCCGTTGTCCGCCAAAGGTTTCAGAACCTGATAGGAATATTCTTGTCCTAGGTGGATAACCCATGGCTCGAAGCAGAAGGCCAACCTAAAATTTGCAAAAATGTATGAAGAATTAAGAAATAGAACGACTGCAGGGAGGTTTTACATAGGAAATGTTATAGTTCTAGGGGTAACAGCAACACCCGATGGTTTAAGCATTAAACTAACAGAATGTGAATAATTAACAGGGTTTTGAGGTATTTAACTCTCTTTTTTCTTTTGAGAAAGAACAGAACATGCAATTCTGTGAATGAAAGAACCTGGGCTTATAACTAGAGAGCATTTGCATCAACCTTCCCAAGCTCAATCAATGAACAACAAAGAGGGTTTGAATTATCGGCAGCTCCTCTGTGAAAATATCTCCAGAAACAAGCTATTGATGTCTCAGCCTAAGGCAATCTTGATTTATTCACCGATATAGAAGATAGCTAGCAGGTGTATATCCCGACATCTTAAACTATTAGCAGCAAATTCATTGGCTAAACTAACTACACTTTTTTTAAAGTCTTTACTCTCTTTTTTGAATGCAACCTGTAAGAACATTATCTATATGTTGTTTATTATTTTGACATGAATAATACTTCTTATTTTACCGATAAAAAAAATGCTTTGATCTTTACAGTGCCTTAATATCTCATCTCTGCATCAATTGGCAAGCAAATAAGGAACTCGCAAAATCTCTTCCTAGTTGTGAGAAAAGAATCTAGAGCATAAAGTAAATCTAGGAACATGAAGACCCCTATACTGTATTTAAAGAAGTTTGAACTGGAGATTAAACTATGAGATGGTAACAAAATGCACTAATTAGCAAAAAAAGAAGAAAAAATGTGCACTGCATGGATGCTATCTAAAAAGTGTCTGCATCAAAAGGTAACTTAAAATGTAATATATTGTATAAAGTTACTTATAAAAACTGTACTTTGAGCCAGATGAATAAACTTTTGATGAAGATTTAAAGAGAATTCAAAAAGTACCTCTTCTGGCATGAGTGGGCACGATCCATTTCTCTTCCGAGCATGTGAGTCAACATTAAGTTCTTCACTGATAATTCCTTGTTTAATCATCTGGGCCCTCCTGTATTGTATAAGTTCTGTGTGAACATCCTACACCAAGAGAAAGCAATATATTACAGGTGTCATGATATCAGTTGTTGTTTTTGAGAAAGTTCAACATTTTATAGACAAAACACACCAATAGTGTATCAGTAGTAATTACATCAGGAGTTAAAGTTAGCAAAACCAAATATGTCTAACCTTTACTCCTCCTAAACTATCTAAAAAGTGAGTAATATCCTCCACCTTTCTGGGGAGTACATAGTTACACCAAAAATAAAAGTTTATAAGGCAATTCAATTTCAAGCGGAAAGGGATGCTCTTGTTTTCAAAACATCTCTGGTTCCTTTCCTTCCTTATTGTCCACCAGATGCAAGCAGGGACAATCTTCCATCTCTCCTTATGGCCTGACATGTTTCCTTCTCTATTCCATCCCGTTAGGGCTTCTGATGTATGCCTTGGCATGGACCAACTGATACCCCTCAAGTTAAAAAACGCATGCCACAATTTCAGTGTCACTCTACAGCGAATGAAGAGATGGTTTGTTGTCTCTGTTTCTCTTCACAAAAAAAACACCTGGAACATAATTCCCTTCCCCTTTTCATTAGATTGTCCTGAGTCAGTACTGTTTGCCTGGCTACCAACCAGGTGAAACAAGCCACCTTGTGGAGTATCTTTAACTTCCATATCATCTTCCAAGGCCATGATAAGAGCATTGCAGCTGACCTATCAAGGTGTTTGTAAGCTGATTTTACTGTGAATTTCCCATTTTTGGCTCTCAACCATTGTAGACTGTCTTCATTTGTGTCAAGGTTATTGGTATGCTCCAAAGAACTGAAGAAATCTGTGAGGTTGTCTATTTCCCAGTCATTCAACCTTCTCCTGAAAGATAGGTTCCATCCTTGATTGTCCATGACATCTGCTACTGTTGCCTCCTTCTGTTGGTTCAGAATTCAGATTGTAGATCACAGGGTACAACTGTTTCACAGGGTATTGATCAACCCACACATCATTCCAGAATGATGCCTTCCTTCCGTTTTCTATTTGAATCCTTGAATTTCTCCATATTTTAGGCCACTAGATCATGATTGTTTTCCATAAACCTACCCCATAAGGGCTTGTAGCTTCCTTAGTAATCCATAGGTCTTTCATTGTATATCTGGAAGCTATAACTTCTTTCCACAAACTCTGTTCTCCAGAGACAAACCTCAATAGCCACTTCAAGAGAAGACTCTGGTTCTGTACTTTGAGGTGCTTTATACCCATTCCTCCTCAATTTTTGTTGTTGATGACAGCATCCCATTTCACCAAGTGATGCTTCTTTTCCCCCTCTCCATTTCCTTGCCATAAAATGTTCCTCCGGATGGAGTCTAACTTCTTTAAGACACCCTGGCAAAGGAAATAATGACATCATGTAAGTTGGCATAGCATCAAGCACACTATTGATTAAAGTTAATCTTCCACCCAAAGATAGTATTGGCTTCTCCGATTTACCAGCTTCTTTTCACATTTTTCCACCACTGCATTCCATATATTCTTGGATTTACTTTTTGCTCCCAGAGGCATCCCTAGATAGGTAGTACCTCCTAGGATAC